GTGGTAATCAGTCTTGAGGAGCCGAAGGGGGAGGGGCCCGGAGTACTTTCTTAGAGTTGTATGAAGAGCGTCGGGAGTGTTACTCATGGTTGGGTGCAGATGCCCGGGGAGCTATTTTTCCAAGTGGCAAAACTAAGGGAAAATTGACCCTTAGTGCTTTTAATAAGGGCTTAAAGAGGTGGTTCAGCCAAACAGGTCTAGGATGCATTGGAAGTAGCTACAGTTTTCATGGGGGTCGTACAGGATGGGATAAAAAATGGTTGGACCTTGGAGCAGATGCTGAGCCAAGGTTCATGGAAGAGTTTCTCATCATTCGTCCGCTATGGATATGGTTGTCATACCAAGGGACCCCCACTCAATAAGGAGATCCTTCTTGCTTTTAGTCTGAAGGATGCCAGGTTAGGTGCTCCTTGGGGCACCCTTTTGCTGGGCCAGCAGGACAAGCACCTTCTGGAGATTCACATTTCTCTTGTGCACTTCACTTCCGCCACTGTCGGGAACCATGATGCTCTGGTCGTCTTGGGGGTGATCAGCAGGAATTCTCCGCCAGAATGCTTCATTCTTCTTATGACTTGGCTTAGTATCGCCGTTGGTGGAAATATCCATAAGTAGTAGTTCAGTTGGAACTGTCCCCAATCCAAAGCCAAGGCATCCACGTCGCTGCAACCTGCACACAGACGAGCCGATACAAACACTTCGACAACATGATGAACATCCGACGCGAACAAGTTTGCAGCCGGTGCTCCGAATCTCCTGAAGAGGGACCACAATATGAGGTGCAAGTCCCCAATCTGTGGGGTCTTCCAACTTTGACAGGTCATCAGCTTTGGTGTTCAGATTTCAGGGTACCCAGATTGGTCTTAGTTGGCCATCCTTTTCCAACAGGATAGTCGCAATGGTTTGGAGGAGTTGGTTCATCATCTCGTCGGGAGTGCTCTTGTTCTTGAGTAGAGAGGCTACACCTGCATTGTCCCCTACTACCTTGACTGCACTGGAGGCTGTCAGTCCTAATCCCCTTCTTGCAAGGATTTGCAGCGTGGTTAATACTGCAAATAATTCTCTGTGCGTGCTTGACTTCTCGGGCCTTGAATCGGGGAGCACCATGTTGACTTGCTCCTCCGTTTCATCGTTGTGGTAGATGAGGGCTCCGCTTGCTGAATCAGATGCGTCAGTTTGAATGGTGACATTGATGGGTCTAATGGGCCAGTTTGTGCCTTGAATGTTGGGCAGGTTCTGCAGCCACCAGTTGAGATCATCCCTTGCTGATTCTGGGATGGTCATTTTCTCATCCCAGTTCTTGGGGCAAATAGCTTTGTGCAGATGTGAACAGAAAGTTGCAGCAGGGCGGAAAGCTGAAGTTAATGCTACTAGCTTGCGTGCCACTGCTGCCAGTGAGGATAAGTCCCTGCTGGAGACCTCATCCTTTGATAAAAATGATAGGATGCGGTCAGAGATTCTGAGTGCTTTCTCAGCGGGAGTAGAAATGAGCTTGGAGTGCGAATTAATGTTGAATCCGAGGAACTTGACGCGCTGAGACGGTAGAAAGGAACACTTATTGAGGCTTAAGAAGAAACCCAGTCTGTGCAGGACACATGTGTAAATGAAGGAAAACCAAAGAGATCTGAGATTCTGAGGTAAGATGAGCTGACGGTCAGGGAGTCGTCGATGTATGAGAAAATGGAGAAGCCATGCTCTCTGAAGACAGACACTCTTTCCTACATTACGCAAGTGAAGATCCAGCAGGCGGATGATATGCCGAAGCATAACGTGTTGAATCGGAAAAAGTTGCCTTGCCATTGGAAGGCTAAGTACTTCCTAGACAAGAGATTGACCTTGACGTGATAATAACCATTCTTCACGTCGAAGGTGGTGAGAAAATCGGACAGTTGCTTGCTGCTGCAAGCGGCTGTTACATCAGACAAGGATTCGTAATGAAATTTAGGGAAAGATTTAAACAAGTTAACGAACCTCAGATCCATGATAAATCTGAGTTTTGCTGAACTTTCGAGTACAAAAATAGGGTTTACTACCCTAGGGTTGACGGTTTCCGAAATGACCCCTTGGTGGAAGAGCAAGCTGACTGTTTCCTGAATGAAGGAACAATTTAGGGGGCATTGTTCTTATGGGGGGAAGTGGACAGCAGGTGGGTCCTTCCGTGTCAATGCCCTCTTGAAGGCAGTCCTGGTCATGACCGGTCTTACCATCCTACAAACTTCCTCTATCTTGTCCTTGACGTTGTGCCCTGCTCCTGTGAAGTTGAGCTTCACTCCTCTCCTGATCCAATTGAGCACGTTCCTGGATGGCCGCCTTGTTGAGCCCTTCAGCAGGCTGGCTCATTCTTGAAGATGTCTTGAGAGAAAGGCAACTTTGAAGTCATCTGGTTGTCTTGGCCATTCGTGTGCCTTGGAGAGATAATTGATGGTTGTTGTTGCATCTGCAGAGGAGGGCAGATGCTGCAGGCTGGTTAGTAGCTCTGTCATATGCCCAGAGGGTTCAATCCCTGTGGGATTTCTCAGATCTGTCCCCACCTTCCTTTCTTGAGTCGTAACCCTTGCCGCTTCTTGAGCTGCCATATGATTTGTCCATCCTTGATTTTTGATCCGCCTGGTCAGGCAGCAGCCTGTAAGCACAAACAATAGAGGTTAGCCTGAATACTTACCTGATGAGTCTTCAAAGTCGGATCTTCTTTAGTCTTCAAGGTTCCCACTGGAAAAAGAGATCGTGGGGTAATCTTTTCCTCCCCCAAAGGGAACCTTTATATTTGATTAGTAGTAATCCCCTTATACATGACATAAGCGCAACACTGCCGGAAGGAAAGGTTGGGGGGGCCTGATTGTGCCCTTAGGTGTGCCAAGTACCTTGTGGATGCATAGTACTCTCGTCGCTGCCAATCCTTCATGATTCTTGGGAGGGCTTGACTCCGCTTGAGTTGCAGTTAGGAGTTCTGCCTTTTGCAGAGAGTCCTTCGTTGCTGATGAGAATAGCGGGTCGCATAATTTGTGAGTGATTCCTTCAATGTAGCAAGCAAAGGGTCTGGCTCCCTCCTTCCCCGTCATGTAGAGCAGACAGTTCAGGTGCACCATCTTGGCTCTGACTATCAGATCTATGTGCCTCCTCCAACTTCGTAGATCTGAAGTAGCGAATCAACTTTTTCGGCTGCAGCATTGCTCTTCGGGTACACGTTCTGGATGACCCTCTGCAACATACTCTCTATCTTGGATTCGTCAGAGACGGTTAGTGTTTTCATTGCCCTGGTTATCTTTTCTGTTGATATTTTTTCTTCCTCTTTCGAGTCGGAGACGGTACCATCACTGAGATCATTCATAATTACTGATGATTTCTGCGCTGGGGTTGTTCTCTTTTTTGTGGGTGGTGATAGCTTAATCAGGAAGAGGTTAGCTGGTATAGGATCCTGGTACTCTTCTCTTTTAAGCTCAAAGAAACATTCCTCCACGTTTTTTTCCTCCTTCAGTACGCAGAGTACCTCTGCAGGGTGGTATCCATTTGCTGGATCGGTACAAAATACCTGCACTGCTCCCCCTACCCATGCTCCTGCTCCCCTGGATTGAACAAAAGCCCTTGTGAGAGGGTCCGTTTCCTGCAGGTGAGAGATGCATGAAGTAAGAGTGTTGGCTTCCCCCCCCCATTTTTTTTTTTTTTTTCCAATCATTAGTGAGAAAGTCCCGCACTATTCCACCCCC